GCCATCTAAGTAAAGGCTTTAGAGATGTTACAGGTCTAGCCATTCACTTGACTGTAACCTTTTGAGAAGCCTTGAGCCTGAACCACTCAGTTCATGGATTCCTGATGCTCAGAAATTGTTAATAAATTTTGTTGTCTTAAGTCACTAATTTTTAGGTTACTTTTAAAATATAACAATAGATACCTACTACATATGCATAGTGAGTTTTAGGAAATCGTTAATATAAACAGAATAAATATGTGGTAAAGAGTGCCAAAAGGAATTCTAGGTCAATAAAAAGTTGTTTTGAAAAGAAAAAAAAAAGCCTTAACAAACAATACAGTTTACAATAGCATAAAATGCATGAACGCCTAGGGATAAATGTCACACAATATGTACCAGACCTGTACTCTAAAAACTATAAAACACTGAAATTAAAGAGAAAAATAAGAGAGAAACTAAAGATGGTATGAAGAAATAAAGAGATACATCCTGTTCATGGATGCAAACATTCGATATGGTTAGACATCAGTTTTGCCCTCAATAATCTATGGATTCAGTGCAAATCTCAATTATAATCACACTGGTCTTTTTGTGGCACTTGATAAGGCAGTTCCAAAATTTACACGAAAATTCAAGGACCATGAGTAGCCAAGGCAATTTTGAAAAAGAACAAACTCGGAGGATTGATATCACTGAATTTTAGGACCTACTGTGAAGCAGTAGTATGCTACTGGTGTAAGAGCAAATATCTAGATCAATGGAACAGAATAGAGAACCTAGAAAAAGATCCAGGTATGTATGGCCAGTTGATTTTTTAAAAAATGGGCACGGTGAATCTTAGGGAGAAGGAAAGTCTTTAAAATGAATATTGATAAACATACATAAAAATACAAACCTCCACCCCTACCTCGCATCACGCACAAAAATAATTTTGAAATGGATCACAGACCTGAACATAAAAACCAAAAATGTAAAACTTCTAGGAAATGGAGAGAAATTATTTGTGCCCTTGAGGTAGGCAAAGGGTTTTTACAGTTAAATTGTATCTCTTTATTTTTGGCTGCCCTGGCTCTAAGCGGCCGCGACGGCTTCCCCGCTTGGGCAGCACAGGTTCCGGGCTGCACAGGCTCAGTCGGCCCATACCTCACGGAACCTTCCGGGTCCAGGGACCGAACCTGTGTCCTCTTCATCGGCAGCCGGACTCCAATCCACTGTACCACCCGGGAAGTACTCTGCCAAGGGGTTCTTAATAAGACCCGCGCAGTCACAGAACGCGACACAATAAAAATGGGTGTTATCAAAATGAACATCTGCCTTTCAAATGACCCACTAAGGCAAGGGGCAGACAAGCCCGTCTGGGAGAACAGATTTGCAGTTCACAATCTGATAAGGGACTTTAGCAGAATTTAATCAGAGCACAGACAACATAATTAAAATATTGGATGAAAAACTTTGAACAGATACTTCACACAAGAAGCTACGCAGACAAGGGAGCCCTTGCCTGTTCCCTCTGCCTGAAATGTCTCCTCCTCCATCCACTAACTCCCTCTTCTCTTCAAGTCTTTGCTCCAACTTTGCCTTCTCAAAGAGGCCTGCCCTGACATTTTATTAAATATTACACTCTGCCCCGGCTCCTCCCCACCACACTCATATTCCAAATCCCCCCTTTTTTGCCCTGTCTTTTTTTCCCCGTGGCATGTCCATCACTTTCTAACACACTGTAAAATTTACTTACTCATGCTTATTCATTATCTCCGTCCCCTGTGAGAATGAGCAAGAATTCTGTGTATTTTTCCACTGATGCATCCCGAGCATCTACATGAGTGCCTGACATGTAGTAGGTGTTCAAAAATAAAAAAAAAAAAATCTCTCTTTTATACATGAGTGAATGAATAAAAGGCTGCTTTTATGCTTCTGTTTTGTTTTTGGTCTCCAGCAGGGTTGCTTTGATATGTCAGGCATGAATTCATTTTTATTTATCCTGCTACAGACTCGCCATGCATCTTAAATGTAAGATTTCCATCCATCATCAGTTCTGGGAAATTCTTAGTCATTATATCTTCACGAAGTTCACCTTTCAGAATGTCAATTAGATAACATCATGCTCTTTATTTGATCCTCGTGTTTCTTAACTGCTTTCTTTTTTTTCTGACCTCCTTTTTTCTCTTTGCATCAGTAGGTAATTTCTTTCACTCCACCTTTTGTTTGACAAATTCTGTTTTCAGGAAACAGGTCTAATCTGCTGTTTTTTACCAAATATGAAGGTTTTCATACCATTGGTAAGATTTTCACAGCCAATTCTGTTTGGTTCCTTTTCAAATTTATTTGGTCTTTTTTTTGGGGGGGGGGAGTGCTTTATTAATTCCCCATAATTTTGGTTTCCGATTTCAGTTCTTTAAAACATTTAATGCTCTTCTCTCAAATCATCCCGCCCTCTCCTTCCCCCACTGGGTCCAAAAGTCTGTTTTTCATGGCTGTGTCTCCTTTGCGGCCCTGCATGTAGGACCGTCGATACTGTCTTTCTAGATTCCAATATACGTGTTAATATATGATGTTTCTCTTTCTGACTTACTTCACTCTGTACAATAGTCTAGGTTCTCCAGCTCATTGGAACTGACTCAGATGCGCTTCTGTTCAGATGGCCAGTGGGAGTCTGACGTATGATGCAGGCAACGCAGAGCGGGTGCTCTGTGACAACTGGCCGAAGGATGGGAGCGGGGTTTGGGAGGGAGGGAGGGGACCCACGTATGCCTATGACCGATTCACACCGCTGTATGGCAGAGGCCATCACAATATTGTAAAGTAATTATCCCCCAATTAAATGAATTTTACAAACATTTAAAAAAATGTTTATTTATGTTCCCTCATCAGTACTTGCCTGTATTTGATGAACTCGGGGTTCTGACTTGGGACTGTGAATGCCTCGTTGGCAGGTTTATATTCGTGGGGTCCTTTGAGGCCAGGTTGCGGGGAGGGACGGGTTTGGGTTTGCTTCCAGCAGGAGAATCTTATTGGAAATATCTTTAATTTTACAGTTTGGGGCTTTCTGGACCAAACCGTAGTGTAAATGTGACCCACAAACTTTTGTGAAATAACACAGGAGACTGTTTTTCTCCACCTAGATTCCAGATGGAGACAGCAAGCTTGCTTGTCATCTCCTTTGCCAACTTTTTAGTCAGGACGTCCTGCTTCACCAAGGAACAATCCCTCTCTCTTGCTAAGCCCAACAGAGGCTTCTTGCTCCTGCAAGTTCTCAGGGAATCTGAGCAGCTGTCCAGACAGCTGCCCCACATGGAACGACTCAGTGACCCAGGTTGCCACAATCCCAACACAGCTCTGCCATCTTGACGCGTGGCCTGCAGAGTCTGGTTTTGGTCTAGAAGTGATTCACCTCTCTTCTTCTCAGCATCCAGAACCAGTCCCGAGGCCAGGCCAGTTGGAAGAAGGCCGGGAATGTGTCCTGTGCCTGGAGACGCTGGCTCAGGCGGGCGGGGGGTGGGGGGGCGCGGGGCACAGGTACTGTACATCTGCCCTGCTCCAGAAGGGGGATCTTCCCTCTTTGCTCATCCCGACAGAAGAAGCCTCTGAGGTCCTGGCTGCGGGCAGAGATGCTGGTCCCAACATCCCATCTCGCAGGTGCCATAAGCCCTCTCTCCTCTCCCTGACAACCACTGAGACCTACACTGCCAGGGCTCTGGGCCTGCCTGACAGCCGGGAGTCACTTCAGCTTCAGGACCGGCTAAGCCATCGCTCACTTCCACCTCTGCCTTAAATTCTGGGTGACTTCTTCACCTTCTTGCAAGCTCGGTTGCACATTGCAAATGATGTTTCTTATATTTTGTGTAACATCCACAGGCATTTCGTTTTAGGGGGTAGGTATTATTATTGACAAACCTAGACAGCTTATTAAAAAGCAAAGACATCACTTGGCCGATAAAGGTCCGTATAGTCACAGCTATGGTTTTCCCAGTAGTCATGTATGGATGTGAGAGTAGGACAATAAAGAAGGCTGAGTGCTGAAGAATTGATGCCTTTGAACTGTGTGTTGGAGAAGACTCTTGAGAGACCCTGGGACTGCACGGAGATCAAACCAGTCCACCCTAAAGGAAATCAACCCTGAATATTCATTGGAAGGACTGATGCTGAAGCTGAAGTTCTAACACGTTGGCCACCTAATGCGAAGAGCTGACTCATAGGAAAAGACCCTGATGCTGGGAAAGATTGAGGGCAGGAGCAGAAGGGGAATGATAGAGGATGAGATGATCAGATAGCATCAATGACTCAGTGGACATGAACTTGAGCAAACTCCAGGGGAGAGTAGGGGACAGGGAAGCCTGGCGTGCTACAGGCCATGGGGTCACAAAGAGTCGGACAGGACTTAGTGACTGAGCAACAACAACAGCAGATGAGTATTATCCACACTTTGCAGATGAGGGGAACTGGCTAGAAAACTTTGCTAACCAGCCCCAGGACTCACATGAGGTAGCCTTGCTCTTAGTCAGGCCTGTGTGACCCAGGCATTCTAGCTGGCCTTCCTCGGGAGAGGGTGGGAGGGTGTCTGGCACAGATCAGGTGCAGGCTTCCCAGAGGAGGCAACCTTCGACCAGGCCTGGAAGGGTATGAGGTTGGGGCGCGGGGGTGTGGCTGTGACCCAGACCAGGCAGAAGCCTGAGGGTGTGACAAGGTCAGGACACAGGTGAGCCGCTCCATAAATATTTGCTGAATAAATGAATAAATAAATAGCCCATGATAGGGCCGAGGGGGTGAATAAGGCTGTCAGTAAAGCCTGAGTCAGTCTCTCTCGTGACGGCTTGTGTTTGACCCCGAGTGTTTCTACCTGTTCTTGCCTCATTTCCCAAGCTAAACAAGCCGGGAAGGACTTGTGGGAATGCCAGGGAATGAGTCCCTCTTCCAGTCTCAGCAACTGCAGTTACCTCAAATTGCAAGCCTGTCTGATCTCATTAGCGAAATAAGACTCAGAGGAGGGCCCAAGGTGGAAGTTCAGCCCTGATGTGGAGATGCGGCCTCTTTGTCCGTCTCCGGCCCCGGGTAGAACCCCCGACGCCGCCAGGCTGGCCGAGTGAGTGCCCCGTGCCTGTGCCCCCAGCCCGCCCCGGGGAGGAGGAGAAGGCAAACAGAGGGCAGAGCCAAGTTCGCCCTGGACCACACTCGGCGGCTGGCTCCGTCATAAACACCCTCCCTTGTCTTTATTACGAGGAGGGAGCTTGAGCCCTGGGGCCTGCAGGAAGGGCCCCGTCCAGAAAAGCCTGCTGAGGCAGACACCGATGGGAGACCTAGCAGCGTGGGCCTTAGGTGAGAACTGAGGGGGTCAGATGGAACTCGGGGCCGGGAGTCGGGGCTCCGGATCCTGTTCAAGCACCGTGATGTTCAGGCAGTGAGAGAGCTGAATAGGTGGACGCTCGCAGGATCCAATGCAGAGGTCTTATTTGTAGCAGCAAGTTGCGGTTCTCTGGGGAGCGTTTCAGAAGACAGAAATATTGTGGTCTGCTCGGGTGGCTAGGATGCATCACAGAAACCGCTGTTTATCGATCTCCTCCTGGGGGCCACGCTCAAATTAGTGCTTTCACACCCATTAGCTTAGGCACTCCTCGTAAAAGCCTGCACACAGGTATCATTATCCCCGGGTTTTAGACGAGGGATCGAAGAAGCGCTGGCTAAGTAACTCGCCCCAGGTCACTTAGCCGGTAAGTGTGACCTGGGGAGCCTCTTCTCCATTAGACTTGGAGAAGGTGGTCTGCCTCAACACCACTTTTTTAAGGAGCTGCTGAACACCTGTGCAGTTTTTCCTAAAGAAGAAAAAATAATGTTCAAGGACTTGAAGGCTTATAAAACTTAAAAATTTTTTTTTATTATTTTTTCATTTTTACAATGTTGTGCTGGTTTCTACCAGACTACAAAGCACATGATTCATAACCATATATAGCTCCCTTCCCTCTAAAGGAAATCAACCCTGAGTACTCACTGGAAGGACTGATGCTGAAGCTCCAATACTATGGTCACCTGATGCAAAGAGCCAACTCACTGGAAAAGAGCCTGGTGCTTGGAAAGACTGAAGGCAGAAGGGGAAGGGGACGACAGAGGATGAGATGGTTGGATGGCATCACCGACTCAATGGACATGGGTTTGAGCAAACTCTGGGGGATGGTGAAGGACAGGGGAGCCTGGCGTGCTGCCGTCCACGGGGCTGCAAAGAGTAGGACACGACTGAGTGTCTGAACAACAACCCTTCCGTCCTAAGCCTCACTCCCTCCTGCTCTTCCCGCCTCTCTAGGTCATCACAGGGCACCGAACTGGGCTGCCTGTTATGCAGCAATGTGGGAAGGGCTCATGGAAGTCACAGTGCATCTCGGAGGGATTCAGAGTGGAATCCCAGGCTCTCTGGAGGTCAAGGACACCGTGCGGATGAAGCTGCTCCTGCCCGGCTATGGGTGGTTCGCTACCGCCACGTCAAATGCATTCTTTTTGTTTGTTTCTTCTTTAAGCTTTTAATAAGTGAAACCTCCTGAGACAGCAAACCAAATGTTCTCACCAAAAAATAAAAAAAGGATAAATATGTGAGGTGACCAGTTCAGTCGCTCAGTCGTGTCCGACTCTTTGCAACCCCGTGGACTGCAGCATGCCAGGCCTCCCTGTCCATCACCAACTCCCGGAGTTTACCCAAACCCATGTCCATTGAGTTGGTGATGCCATCCAGCCATCTCATCCTCTGTCGTCCCCTTCTCCTCCCGCCTTCAATCTTTCTTTATGTGACGTGACAGGCATGTTAACTATCTAGATGGGGGAATCCTTTCATGATGTACGGACATGCTAAGTCACTTCAGTCATGTGCGACTCTCTGCGACCCCAGGCTCCTCTGTCCTTGGCACTTCTCTGGCAAGAATCCTGGAGTGGGTTGCCATACCCTCCTCCAGGGGATCTTCCCGGCCCAGAGGTGGAACCCACATCTCTCAGGTCTCTGGCGTTGGCAAGTAGGTTCTCTGCCACTAGCGCCACCCGGGAATAAGTGTATCACAACACTATGACGTACTCTTCCAGTATCTCATGCTCTTAAATGTGAATACTATGTCAATAAGCTAAAAAATAATTTGTTAAAAATGGAGTATTGTAGGGCCACAGGGAGTTGCAAAAGTACTAAAGAGGTCCCAAGAACCCATCGCCTAGTTCCCCTCACAGTTAATCTTACATATTTGTAGTGAAATATCACACAGAGGAATTTGACGTTGGTGTGGTGTTTGAGTATAGTTCTATGTCATTAAATTTTTTTTATTGGGGTGTTGTTGCTTTATGATGTTGTATGAGTTTCTAGTGTACACCAAAGTGAACCAGCTATGTGTCTGCATATACCCCCTCCTGTTTGGATTTCCTTCCTATTGAGGTCACCATAGAGCTGTAGTAGAGCTGCCTGAGCTCTACAGTAGGTTCTCAGTAGCCGTCTATTTCACACGTGTCGATCTCAACGTCCCGATCTATCCTACCCCTTCTTCCCCCTCGGCGTCCAGATACTTGTTCTTATGTCTGCGTCTCTATTTCTGCTTTGTAAATAAGATCGCCTACACTGCTTTTTCCAGGTTCTACATTTATGCATTAGTATACAATATTTGTTTTTCTCTTTCTGATTTACAGTTCTCTGTCATAGTTATCACTGGCTTCCCAAGTGGCTCCAGTGGTAAAGAATCCACCTGCTGGTGCAGAAGACGTAAGAGACACGGGTTCGATCCCTGGCTTGGGAAGACCCCCTGGAGGAGGGCGTGGCAGCCCATTCCAGGATTCTTGCCTGGAGAGTCCCATGGACAGAGGAGCCTGGCGGACGACAGTCCGTGGGGTCGCAAAGAGCCGGACACGACTTGGTGACTGAACAGAGAGGCTACAACGGACCGAGACGTGAGTGAAGAGCGCTCTGGCTGCGGGCGGCTCGGGGTCTGAGGAGGGTGGCTGCGCGCAAACACCTGCACCTCAGTGAGACTCTCGCAGGATGGAGTGGTCTGGGCCCCACAAGCTGGACCCCAGCAGGTCTGCCCAGGGAGATTAGCATGCAGCGCTTCGGAACTGTTTTGAAAAAGGGGGTTTCTGATTGAGAAGCTAGCTTGAATAGTGACATCTAGTACTGTGTTCTGAAGGGATAATTGTTCTATATTTATAAAGATTCTTAATTATCTGCAGCAAATGCATTTAGTTCACTTGGTAATTGAATTAAGGAAAATGTCTTTTCCGGCATTGTAAATCGTTGCAATCATCAAAAAAAAAAAAAAAGACAGAATAACTTTAAAGTACTTCCATACATGACCGAGACAAACTCGTTATTACTGAAAGCAGAGTAATTCCATTAAGGGGCCTGTCGGCTCTAATATAATGGGAATTCTGGGGATACGAACCAAATTAAAATCGTAAGAGATGATGGAAATTTCCTTTCATTGGGGAGACTATGTTGAAATAGTCCTTCTATAGAAATGGTCCTTCTCCTGTGGGCTCTGGACATACTTTTTTTTTTTACACTTATCACACTATATTGTGATTATCTCTGGGTTCTCTGTACCCTGTTTATGCCCCAAATGTGTTTGTCTCTTGAGAGCTAGACCACGTCTTGCCTGCTTAGGGGTCACAAAAAAGAACCCCAATGTTCATAGCGGCACTACTTATAACAGCTAGCAAGCGACCTAGATGCCCATCAGCAGAAGAAAGGATAAAGAAGTGTCGGTACATGTATACAATGGAATACTACTCAATCATAAAAAGGAACAAATTCCAGTTGGTTCTGGTGAGGTGGATGAACCTACAGCCTGTTTTACAAAGTGAAGTAAGCCAGAAAGAGAAAAACAAATTTCACATATTAATGCATATATACAGAGTCTAGAAAACTGGTGCCGATGAACCTGTTTGCAGGGCAGGAAGAGATACGCAGACACAGAGAACAGAGTTTGGACAGAGCAGGGGAAGGAGAGGGTGGGATGGATTGAGAGAGTAGCATCATATATATATATATATATATATATACTGCTGATACATACACTGTCACGTGTAAAATGGACAGCCAGTGGGAATTTGCTGTATGATGCAGGGAGCTCAACTCAGGGCTCTGTGACAACCTACCAGGGAGGATGGTGTGGGGGGTGGGCCCTCCCCTCCCTTCAGGAGGGAGGGGACTTATGTGTACTTGTGACTGATTCATGTTGTTGGATGGCAGAAGCCAACGCAATATTGTAAAGCAATCATCTCCCAATTAAAAATAATAATAAAAAGAAGTCTAAACCTAATTGTAAACCCAAACTGAGTTTACACCTCTCCCTCCATGCCTGTGAATTTCTTCAGAAAGCAGCCTCTCAACATTTTATCTTTGGATGCACACATCTTTTAGTAGACTCCAACGGCCATGGGGTTGCAAGAATCCAAGTCATGGAATGTTGGCGAGGACGCCTTGGCCAGGGGACCCTCAGGCCCCAGCGGACTTATGCCTTGATGCCGGAGCCTGGGCTTGTCAGGCAGTTTGGGTGGCGGTGGTGGGCGGGGAGCCAAGAGGAGCCCAGACTGACAGGCCCTGGACTTCGAAGAAAAATCAATACCTGTCCGGCTTTTATTGTACCATAAAGGCCTCCCTGGTTGCACTGTCACCTCCCAGCACGCCCAGTGAGTTCTGCCGATTAGGGAGCTGCCCGCCGCACCCCAACACGGTCCCCTGAGGCCATCGGGGGGGCCGTGTCCCCTCCAGCTCTTGGTGGTGTTAAAACCCACTGGGATTTCCCACAGCAGTGGGCTGAGGCGGGGTGGCTCCCTGGATCTTCCAGAGGAGCATGAATTCAGCCAAGAGTCACCCAAGTGCCATGCCCAGATGCTGGATCAGGCTCCACTGATGCCACGGGGAACTCGCCAGACGGGCCACTTAATGCCCAGAGCCTATAGTGCAATGTGGAGATCGATGCTGAACGGGTAAATGACTCAAGAGCAGGGTGAGTGCAGACTGATGTGTTATCCACCAAGCAATAAACTGGGGGGCGGTGATGGAGGCGTGGAGGGCAGGGCAAGCGGGCGGCTGCAGACGGGCGGGCAGCTGCCCATGCGCTGGGTGCTTGGCGCTGAGCTGGCATCGCCGGTGGTCCTGCCTCTCTCAAAGGGGACTGTCTCTCCTCCCCGACTCTGGGCTCGTCTCCTACCCACCCCCCCCCCTCTCCCCATCACCTTCCCATGCCGACTCCAACACGCGCCCGTGGCTCTGACGTGCCCGTGCCGTCAGGGCGCCAAGTTGCCACCTCTCTTTCATTTCTTATTTCAAATGCTCGGACGGAGATTGAGATCCCCATGGTCCAGTCTGTGCATCGGCTGTCCCAGGCAGGTCCAGCCCGGGGCAATCAGCCGAGGCCTGTGCAGAGAGGGCGACCCACCCGCCCGGGAAACGGGCATGCCATGCTGCAGAGACGCACGAGGCCTGGGATCAAGTCCTGACCCACCCCTTATCAGGGGTATGGACTTGAGCAAGCCTTGTATCTCTGTGCCTCAGCTCTGTCACTGGAACCTGGGATGGATTGATGGAGGTTGTGTCCAACCTCCGGCAGGGTGGGCAGGGGACACGAAGGGGTTTTCTATACAGATGGGCAAGATGTAAGGGCTGCTGCCGATAGCTAGGGACTCACAGGGCAGTTCTGGATACGTGCTCGATACTCATTTTTATAGAATTCCACATCCTTTCTGAATCCTGGGATTACAAAACAGCCACTGGGAAATCACGCACCCCATTAACACTGAGACTTTTATGTATTTACAATTCAGCTTAAATTTTTACCAAGAGAGGTTTTCAAAATGTAACATGTGTTAGTCACTGCGTGAATTGCGAAACCAAGGAAATATCTCCAAAGTGCTGGCCTTGACAATGTAATCTGGCAGGGCTTGGGGAGGAATAAAAATAACGCTTCTCAGCATTGCCGCCTTGACGGGGAGGGTGGGGGGCACGTGGAGCCCCCGCCCCGCCCGGGCTCACAGGTAGCTTGTTGCGTGCCTGCTGGTCCCCTCTCCTCCGCCCTGGCCACACCCAGCCGTGGGGGGGTGGGGAGGGGAGGAACCTGCGGAGTCAGGGGGCCTGGTTTGAATTCTAGCGGAGCCACCCACTGGCCAGGCGAGCTTGGGCATTTTCCAGACCCTGTTGTGCATAGAGTGAGTGGTTAGGTGACTGCCCAAGGGGGCGCTGCGTGATGAGAGGTCCTCACCGCTGTCCCCCTGTCTCCCAGGTGGGCCCAAACCCAGAGGCACTGTGCCCCCCGAAACCCTGAGGCAGCCTCTAGGGCTGGAGCCGTGTTTGGGAGGATGAAGCGGGGCGGCGCCCGGACGTCCCCCGCAGCTGTACGGCCAGCTTGGTTTTCTAAACACAACAAGCCAGCACTTCCCCACGGAGCTACAAGCCTGCAGGTGGCTGGATGAACATGTGGTTTCTGGATGGGACATGAAAGTTAGCATTTGCAAGCCCTCTGTCTGGGTTCCCTGGGTTTGTTTTTCTTGCTTTTACGGCCCTGAAATATTCCCGATCCTGTTTATGTTGAGGCAGGACGTGTGGAGGCCAAGCGCTGCCGTACCACGATTGGCTCCATCATCCCTCCGAAAAGCACCAGCGGGGTCCTGAGCCAGCCGAGCACAGAGCCCACTGCAGAGGCGCCAGGCTTCTGGGCACCTGTCCACCACCTCACCCCTGCCCACACCAACAGTATCCTGGCCCCCACCTGGGAGCCCCTGTCCATTGGTGACGTCAGCTTCCCCGGACTCCCCGTGAATGATTTCTGACCCTCGCTGCAGCCAGGGAGTGGCGATGTGTTCAGTCGCTCAGCTGTGTCTGACTCTTTGCGACCCCACGGATTGCAGCCCATCAGGCTCCTCTGTCCATGGAATTCTCCAGGCAAGAATACTGGAGTGGGGAGCCATTTCCTCCTCCCAGGGATCTTCCTCATCCAGGGATCGAACCTGCATCTCCTTCAATGGCAGGCGGATTCTCTACCACTGAGCCATCATCAGGAAAGCTCCTTCCTGGTGGCTCAGAGAGTAAAGAATCTGCCTGCAGTGCAGAAGACCCGGGTTCCATCCCTGGTCGGGAAGATCCCCTGGAGAAGGAAATGGCAACTCACTCCAATATCCTTGCTTGAGAAATCTCATGGACAGAGGAGCCTGGTGGGCTACAGTCCAAAGGGTTGCAAAGAGTTGGACGCGACAGGGCAACTAACACTTTCATGGAGAGTGGGGACCTGGATTAATTATTCCTATGTTGCAGAGGACAAAACTGAGTCACTTGAAAGTGACTTTCTGTCCATTGTGAGGCTCAAGGTCACACGGCAGTACAAGATAAAGCTAGGGTTGAAACTGGTCACTGTTTCTATCCTCTCATTTCTGTTCTGCTTCCCCTCCTCCCCGCCAGCACCAGGGATGATGCCTCAGTTTCTCACCACAGTTCGGAAGCTCCTGGAGCCTCCCTCGATGACACCCACTGTGGCTCACGGCTGTTGCCCTTGGCTCCGTCTGGGTCTCCCCTCTGGCTTGGATTATACGCCACCTAATGCCCCTCTCCCGATCGCTGGCTCTGTTTTTTAATTGCCTATTTCTTGCCTGCCCCCCGAGGCTGTGAACCCCAGAAGGACAGGAGCCACAGGCCGGCCGCCCCGTGCCTGGCCTGGGGTGGCCACATAGCTGACTCTTAACCATACTTGTTGAATGATGACTTGTTATTATTCCCTGAGGCTGGGTTCCACGTGTCTGGCCACAGGAGGCTAGAACCCCCGCCCACCCCCACCACTCCTGCCCCCAAGTCCTTGGCTGGCCAGCATTTCAAATGATATTGTTTCATATTAAATTATTTTAAATTCCATGGACCCGGGTTTCACAATCAAATAATTCGATCTTGTTTACAAATGGAATTTTTACTTTTTGACAGTTTCTAGCTTTGCTGGGCTGGATGGTCAGGAGAGCGTGTCCTCTCATGCCCTCCTGTCCACCTTTGCTGCCTGCCCTGGGATGCCGGGGACCCAGGGAATGGTCTTGGGGGGGTGGGTGGCGGGCACCCAGCATGGCTGTGGGGGAGGCTGCCCCTCCAGTGGGCACCGGGCACAGAGGCCTCCCCTGGCTTCGAGCTCCTGTTGTGAGTAAATCCATAAATTACAGAATAGGAAGGGACCACTGATACCTGTCATTCCAACCCCGCTTCACAGACTAGGACGCTAGGGTCCAAGACCACAGTCCCTGTGGGTGGCCGGGACTCTCTGCCTAGTCTTTGGACACCCTCCTCCCAGGGCTATTCCACATCCTGTCTTCCTCCGCCTACACTGATGAAATCTTTCCATGTTGCTTTGAGCTATGGAGACACAGATGTGGGAAGACATGATCTTTGATCCCTAGATGCTCATAACCTGGGTGCTGGGGTCAGGGGGTGGACAAGGAGACAAAAAGTGGCCGCACGCTGAGGCTGGTGGGCCCCAGGCCGGCGCAGGGGCAGGTTTGTGAAGGTGCAGACGTGGGCTGAGCTGGGTGGTCGCCGCCCACCCCTTCTTAGGAGATGGTTGGACTCAGCAGCTGAGTACATTGACCAACGTGCGAAACTTTGGTCTCTCCCAGAGAGTCCCCGTCACCCCGAAGGCTGCCTCCTCGCCCCGCAGCTCTATCACCACTGGACACAGGTTGGCAGCCTCTCCTCCAGAACTCGGTCTAAGCAAGTGACGGTCCCGGGGGATGGGGGGACGGGCGTGCTTCCTTGCTTTGTGGCCACTCGCGAGGGTGACCTGGGTTGGCCCCGGCAGCAGCCCTGCTGGGCTTGGCTCAGAACGGCATCTGGCTGTTTCCAGAAGTCGCCTGTGTGGGCCGCCCCCACGAGGCCACAGTTCTCGCGTCTCCGCCAGCCCTGGGGGTTGCAGAGGGCTCCTCAGGAAGGGCCTGGAGGAGGCTGGTTGACAACATCCCAGCTAACCTCTCAGCGCAAAGGCAGGCACTTCATGCTGTGAAGGGCCTGGGAGACGAGTGCCGGGAGGGCCCGACAGGCACTGTGGCTAGGGCCCACGCTGCTAGGGCCCCCGACGTGCCCTGGAATCCTGGAGCCCACTCCCCACCTCTCTGTCTCATCACTGTGACCTTCGTGGTCCTCACACATCTCACAGGGCTGACCTCATCTGGGCACCTGGGGTCAGACTGCAAACTATGTGGACAGTGGGGACATCCTGGGCTGGCAGGGGGACACCCCGGGCTGGCAGAAGTGTACGTCCAGCCAAGCTGACCGTGCGTCCACACTTTGGGCCAGAATCGAGAAGAGCCTAGGTCCCTAACTCTGGATGTCCTGGTGTCACTAACCATTCAGGAGTCACACGGCAGCTAAAGCCTCCTGGGAGAGACGGAGGTGCGTCTGCCTGTGTGTGTGGGGACAGACAGGCCTCCAAAGTAAACAAGGTGAAAAAAAGCAAGATGCCAAACAGAGTGGGACCCACTTTTGAGTTAAAAAAAAAAAAAGATAGAGGGACTTCCCTGGTGGCCCAGTGGTTAACAATCAGGCTGCCAATGCCAGCAACGTGAGTTCGAGCCCTGATCTGGGACGATCCCGCATGCCCGTGCACCTCAACTATTGAGCCTGTGCTCTGGAGCCCAAGAACCACAACTACTGAGCCCTCAAGTCACAACTACTGAAGCCCAAGTGCCCTAGAGCCCGGGCTCCGCAGCAAGAGAGGCCCCGGTGGTGGGCAGCTGGGCACCGCGACGAAGAGGAGCCCCTGCTCGTCACAACTAGAGAGAGCCTGCAGGCAGCAACGAGGACCCAGCAGAGCCAAAAAATAAGAAAACGAGCTATTTAAAGAGTCACTTTTGAAAAAGATAGATAAATAGAGGGAGGTGTATGTGCTGGACGCACACCGGCAAGCAGGCACACGGACACTGGCCACTGAGCACCCAGCTCCCAGGCCCCTACACGTGGTTAACTCACTGAGCCCTTGGAAGACCCCAGGAGGTGGGTATTGCCGTCCCACCCACTTTGCACATAAAGAAACTGAAGCCTGGGAGGCGAGGAGACGAGGGGACAGGGGCCTAAGCCACTGACCAGGGTGCTGCTGGGGAGGGTGGCTGCGGAGGGGCGGTCAGGGCTTCCAGCTTTCCACGTTCACCTCTGTGTCCTCGGAGGTTTCATCCCAGCCAAGTGTGTGACTCTATTTGAGAAAACATCAAGGGGTTTCCTGGATGGAGCTAGGAAACCTTTAATTCCTTTAGTGTGTTTTTCTCTTTTAAAGAGGAAAACACAGTCATGTCATTTTAAGAATTCACCCTTCGCCCAAAAGAGAGAATAACCTCTCTAGGAGCAGGCATAGAGCAGACAGATGGACCCCAAGGGGGAAGGGGCGGGGTGGGGAGGAGTTGGGAGATTGGGATTGACACATACATGCTATTGCTACTATGCATAAAAAAGGGCTTCTATTTTATAGGCTCGGTGCTTTTATACTATGCATAAAATAGGCATAATATCAGGGCTTCGCCGATAGCTCAGTTGGTAAAGCATCCACCTGCAAAGTGGTTCTATTCCTGAGTCAGGACGATCCGATAGAGAAGGGATAGGCTACCCACTCGAGTATTCTTGGGCTTCCCTTGTGGCTCAACTGGTAAAGAATCCACCTGCAATGTGGGAGACATGGGTTTGATCCCTAGATTGGGAAGATCCTCTGGAGAAGGGAAAGGCTACCCACTCCAGTATCCTTGCCTGGAGAATCCCAAGGATAGAGGAGCCTGGCGAGCTACAGCCCATGGGGTCATGAAAGAGTCGGACAGGACTTAGCAACTAAACAACAATAGCAGATTCACTTTACTGCATAGCAGAAACTAACACAAGATTGTAAAGCAACTGTACTCCAATAAAAATCAGTTTAAGAAAAAGAGAGAGTACTGTCTCTAGGAAGAGAACTGAAGAAAAAACCGGGACTTGAGAGATTGGGCTTGATGAACACATACTACTCTATATAAACAGGTAAGTAATAAGAGCCTACTGTATATATATATATGTATATAGCATGGGGAATTCTCAGTACTCTGTAATGATCTATACAGGAAAAGAATCTAAAAAGCGTTGATTACATGTGCATGATTCACTGATTCACTTTGTTGTACACCTGACACCATGACAACACTGTAAATCAGCTATACGCCAATAAAAATTTTTCATAGGGAAGAAAATTAAAAAGAAAAAAGCGAGGATTGCAGCAAGTGATCCCCAGTCTTGCGGGGCGGGGGGCTTGTCCCTGGGCGCTTGCTTATGGAAATCAGCTGTTTCCCATGATACCCAGAATGTGGGATGTGAGAGATTCCTGCCTGATTTCCAGTCGAAAGCAGGCAAGGGGAGGGGGGCGGTGGCCAGGGAAGGGGCTCCCTTGCTCTAGGAGTCACAGGGGGTCCACCTGGCGCCCACGCAGGGCCCCCGGGGGGCTGCCCCACCACCCTGAGCTGGAGCTGGGAAAGATGAAGCCGGGTATTTCTTGCCATCGTTGCTTGATAACCAAGGTCAAACCTGCCTGGGAACTAGTCCAGGACAGGATTCCGAGGCCACCTGGCCCCCAAGCAGCCACCTCGCTTGTCTTGCCTCTTCCAGCCTTTGAATTCAGCGCACGCTTGAGCTCGAGGCCACGGCTCTGTGACTTGCGCGGCTGTGGAGAGGGTGACGTTGCCATTGGTGACCACAGGTGTCCTGGCAGCCTGAACAGAAAGGCTACTTCAGGCTCCAACAAGGGCCAGGTTTCCAGGGGCGACAGCAGCAGAGCCTTGGCCTGGCAGGCGCCCAGCTCTGCCCCGACCAGCTCGGCGGCGAGCTCCCTGGAAGCTCCCCTCCCCCAGGCCTCAGTTTCCCCACCTGGAACACCCCGTGAGTGGCTTAGATGGCCTCGGGCCTTTAAGCTGGTGGCAGACGCCAGCCCCTGGCCTTGCTCCTGTTTCAGGTGAGAGGAAGGATGAACCGGGAGGCCTCTGGGATGCTGGTCCAGTCTCCATGGAGACCAGCTCACTCTCTCTCCTGGGCCAGTCTCCGCATGGTTACATTGGAAAATGGTGGGCCCTAGCCATATGCCTCCTGCTGGTGGCTGACCTTGATTTTGAGAGCTCTGGACCGCCAGAGATGGAGGTACCCCAAAAGATGAAGGGCCTCCTCTCGTAGAGGGTAAAACTAGGCTGTAGGGGAGCTATAAAGGCAGCCCCCAGGTGCTGGCCCGAGGCCCCACCCCCTGAGGCTGAGCAGCAAGACCGCCCCACCCCCACCAGCAGCTTCCTTCCATCTCCACGTCTGTCCACCTGCACAGCAAGTCTTCTGCCTCTAAAGGCACCCCCCCCAAACCCAGTCTTCACGTCCTGAGCCTGGCCTCTTACGCCCAGTGACCGGGGGCGCCAAGATTCCCTCCCAAGTGTCTGTGAGGCTGTTTCTGTTTTGTTTGTAGATTCATTTGCATTACTTTTTTTTGTTCCACATATACCCACTCCAGCATTCCCGCCTGGAGAATTCTATGGACAGAGGAGCCTGGTGAGCCACAGTCCATGCGGTTGCAAAGAGTTGGACATGACTGAGTGATGAACACTTTCACTTTCATAAGCAATATCAGATAATATTTCTCTGACTTCACTTAGTATGATAAACTCTAAGTCTATCCATGTTGCTGCAAATGGCAACCTTCTATTCTCTTTTTAATGACTGAATCATAGACTATCATGTGTAGGTACCACATCTTTATCTGTTGATGGGCAGGGTAGAGGCTGCACCATACAAGAGCCACTTCAAAGCTATAAAAGGCTGACAGATCAGTAAAACCAAATGAAAGGGACTATCAACCCAGAGATCGATGGGTTGACTATCAACCCAACAGTCATAAAAGCCACCAAAGATGGGTTTGGCTGCACAGGGCAGGTCCACACATCAGTGGGTACCCCTGGGAGGTGCCCTCAGCAAGGGTACCCTCAGCACCCTTGGGCTCTGGGGTGGGGGAGATGGAACATTCTGGGTTGGAGGGGAGGCCCCACTACTCCTCTCATTTCTTCCCCCATCTCTTGCCCCTTCCTGCATCTCTGGTGCTGGCCAGGTCCTCCATCTGGCCTTTGCATATACTGATGCCAGAACCTTCATGCACAGCCTCAAGGGCAGCTTCATCTTCAGCAACACCTTCCCTGGCCATTTGATTGATGCAGACACGGTCCCTCGCCACTGCATCCCCTGCTCTGCCTGGCTGTCTCCCACTCGGGAGTCAGCACCACCAGAAGGGACTTGGTGGTGAGAGCAGGTGTCTGGCCACATCCGGTGGGCACAGAGCTCCCCTGCCCAGCGTCCCCATCCAGGGGCCACCCGAGACTCATGGAGCCCAAAGCAGACCTGAGGGGAAAGAGCCAGGCACAGACCAGTCTCACCAGATCCACGTTCCCCTCCCCCACAGTTCTATTACTCGCCCCAAGAGTAAGTTGACTATCCCTTTCCTAATTTTCACTTGCTGCCTACCGAAAGGCTAGAAAGGTTAAAGTGTGTGTGAAAGCAATCTGCCAACTAAAATGCACGGTGCAAGTGTGTGTACGTGTGCACAAGTGTGTGTGTATGTGCACGTGTGCAGAGGTATGTGTGTGCACAAATGCACGTATACCCGCCTGTGTGTATGGAGGACGCAGGGGCAGCCCGTCCTGGCCACGCGTTGGTGACGCGTTGGTGACGATCACTGATGCAGCAGGAGAGCCTCAGCGAGGCTGTGGTTCTGCCCCCAGGCAGCCGTCAGAAGCAGTCAGAGGAAAAGGGACTCAACTCACCCAGGGCCCGGGAGGGGAACACAGGAAGCCAGGAGCTCAGGGTCCCTTCCCCGGTGGAAGGATGCTGGCTGTGGACCCCAGGGGCTGCTCGTCAGGCAGAGTGTCATGGTCTTCCAAGGCTAGGAGAGCCGGCCTAACCCCAGCTCTGCCCTTGCTGTGTGACCCATAGTCATGTGAGCACCCTCTCTGGGCCCTGCATACTCCACTTGCCACACAGGGGCAGGGTGGGAGAAGAGCACCCCGCACTGCCGTCAGGGCTGGCGCCAGGGCAGCGAGCAAGAAGCCGACTGTCTGCAGAGGCTGGCATGGGTGCCACAGACCCCCTGTCTGTCCCCCCGTGCCTTGGGGTCCCACGGGGGCAGCATGACTCCATCCAGGCTCTGAGGGTCCTGTGCTGGACCGCCTGGGCCCACATCTGCCGTGGGGACCTAGGAAGTGGCTGGAAGAGAAGCCTGGAGCTGGGCTGGCAGCAGGAGAAGGATCTTGCTGGGAGGCTCATCCGGGGGCAGGCATCCTGGGCAGGACCAGAGGTGTGGCAGCAAGGCCCAGGGATAAAAGTGGCTGGTGCGTGGGTACCTTGAGCCCCGGCCTTACCTCCGGCACGACTTCCCTGGATTTGCACTGTGACCCTAGGAGGTGGGGGGCTGTCAACCCTACTATGAGAGGAAGCCCAGTGAAGGGCGGTGACACCCCAAGTGCCTGGGTGCTAGGAAGTGGTGGTCTGAGTGTCAGCGGGATGCTCTGACCCCGGGGCTGGAATCCAGGAAACAAAGCAGGTGGGGACCGTGGGCACCCTGGGCTGCTCCAGCTCCTTCATTCCACCCCCGCAGCTCTGAAAACAGGGATCTGTGAACTCCGAGATGCAGCCCGCTGGGATGAGGGCATCGCTCTGGCAGGTGGCAGCCATCATTGGGAAGGAAACAGGGTAACAAACGTCAGAATTCACAATGCGGTTAGAGAAATCCTCTTCTGGGGAAGTGTTTCGGTTCTGTGTGTACAAAGAGCTAACTCCTTATTTCACATGAAGCCGCTATGAGTGCCCCGGGATGAGACTGACCATGTCCTTTCTCACCCCAGCCACCGTCAGCAAGCCCTGGAAGCCACTGCGTTCGGCCTTTCTCGGCTCCTCAGGGGCCTCCGGGCTTTTGTTCTCTGAACAAGAACGCCGGTGCCGGGCACAGGACGGGAGCCAGGCCGAGCTGGAGGGTGTCCGTGCCGCAGCCCTACCCGCACGCCCGCGCGCTGGCTGGGCAAGGGGGCGGCGCCTCTGTGTGCGGTCTGAGTGCTCAGGGTGTTGAGGTTTGGCTGCAGCTGAATGAGGGGGACCCCACGGCTCTGGCACGGGCCATGCTGTCCTCTCTTCGTGAGTCCCACAGAGTCCCTCACCTGCGGGCCAAAGATGCCCCCGAGGTCCCCAAATCCCAGGTTCCAGAGCTTCTCCACCAGGGTGCCCTCTGCTCTGAGAGGCGCTGAACCCCGTGTGATCACCGGGGGTAGGCAGAGAGACCTCCTGCTCTGGGGCCCGTGTGGGTGATGAGCAGAGTGTCTTGGGGAGGAGGCGGATGTCCAGATGACGGGGAGATGGGAGGTCAGGGGCCAGGAAATGCCAGGCCGGGCTGGGAGGCCTGTGGGTAAGAAGCCAGCAGTGGGCACCTGGAGGGCGGCCATGGGGTGATCAGATTTGTTTTCCAATCAGGTCACTGACTCTGGCGGGAGAGGGGGCTGGCCCTGTGTACCTGACTCTTTGCTAATGATCCTCCTCCAACCAGAGGAAGGCCAGGCTTGTGTTGGAAGGCCGAGATGTGAGCGAAAACCCCAGCGCATCCAGTTGCAAATGAAGCTGTCTCCGTTCCTCTGGGCATTGCCAGACGCTGCCACTCCTTTTGTTTATTATCTCCATCTAGTTTTAAGGTCTCCCAGACTGGAGGCCAGTTTTCTAAATATCTTTGAACATTCTGATGTTCAGAACATGTGGGCTGGCTGTTTTGATCTTAGAGGGTGCTGGGGGCCAACCTCCCCAAAGAAGGCTGGGGAGAACCTTCAGATGCCAACCCTGCAGGGGCTTCCTTCCCTTCCTGGTCTCAGGCCTCCTGTTTGGGCAATTCTAAGTCCCTGGAAGGTGGCTCAGTGGTAAAGAACCTGCCTGCAATGCAGGAGATGCGGGCTTAATCCCTGGGTCGGGAAGATCCCCTGGAGGTGGGCATGGCAACCCACTCCAGAGTTCTTGCCTGGAGAATCCCATGGACAGAGGAGCCTGGCGGGCTACAGTCCATGGGGTCACAAAGAGTCGGACACAGCTGAGCAACTGAACACACACACACACAGGCCCTTGGAAACCTTCAGTTGTAATAAACAAGCACAAAGCAGGCTGGCTTTCCCACACGAGGCCACATGCTCTTTCTGCCCTCCTGGTTTTCCCGTTTGCTACCCTGCCTGGCCCAGGTGCCACAGAAGCGGCCTTTGTTTTCCTTCTGTGAACTAAACAAATAGAACAGAACAAAAACAGAAACCAAAAAAAAAAACCCCCAACACTCTCACACACATACAATGCCGCCGTGTCCATAGTCAGGACGGAGGCTGGAAGCACTATCGCCTGGCTTCACTCGACGTGGACAAAGGCGGCTGTGCTCATCAGGCTGGGCCTCTCCAGGTGCCGGGGAGCCCAGGGGTTTCTTGCATCCCGGGTCTGGGTCCATACTTTGGTCACTTGTTTTTGTGAAAATGACCGAGGGACCCCCAACAAGGCTGCTGAGGGGGCCACGGGAGAGCGTTTAAAGGAGAGAAAACATCATAAAATGGAGGAGGGGGGTCCTCCAGATGGGACCAAAACGTGGACACAGAGGCAGCAGGATATAGGGGGCCCCGGCTTGCCGTGTGGGTCTGTTCTGCACGCCCGGGGCACCTCCTGCACACCCGACCCTCTGACCACCTTCCATCACACCCTCACACACATAAGGGGTCCGAGTCGCGTCGGCATAGATGTGAACAAACGTGTGCCTGGTAGTCCAACAAGCCCCCAGCTGTGTAAGAGCAGGGCCCCTCGCCCTGCAGTGCGACTAACTTCATCCCAAATCTTCTCCCGGGTTTCCAGGAGACAACAAAAACACATTTCCCCCTTTCCTGTCCAGTTTAAAGGTTGTTCCTAAAAAGCAATAGTCAACTTACTTTTGGTTTTTTTGAAACAGAAAATTATTTACCAAGAACACACGGATTATTTGTTTTACTCTAAGCTACTCCTTTATTGAAACAGCATCACTGGAAAAGCCATTTCAGTACAAATGGAAGATGAATTATTGAAAAATGGATTTTTTTTCTTTTTCTTTTTAACCACCTCTGGGGTTACTGATTTAAGGGCAGTTGTAGTTCAAACAAACCCAAGGTCACTCAGCTTGTTACGTAATAGTGAAATAGTGCTGTTTTGTACAAAACAAAACCAGATATTCTTTCAGTTAAAAAAAATTGGTGATTTTGCCTGTGCAACTTTTATCTCAAGTAGAAGATGATTCTAATTTTATCTGTGTTCAATAAGCAGATTTTTTAAAAAAAATCAGGAGGCTGGAGCTGTTTACTTTTCCCTACAGTTCTCGAGCAGCTGAAGAAAGTAAAATCACCTTGAAGCTAGTGTTTTCTCAGCATACTACAATAACCAGGTCCCTCAGACCCATCTGGAACGAAATTAATTACATCTACGTGTTAGTTTAATAGGAAACAATTTTATTTTCACTTGTATTTTCATTAGGGATCTTAGGGAAAAAAAGAAGGAAAAAAAACCCAACACAGGATATCAGGAAAAGGCTTTGGTTCCTCATGGCCCATTTTCTCTTTAGGCTTTTCTTGGTTTCCAGCTTCTGCTTTTAAAATTTTTTACTTGTTTTTTTCTTTTTGGTTGAAAAATACACAAAACGTGTATTTTAAATATAAAATAATTATAGAATTTGAACATGACAAAATTTGAGAGCCACTATATATTTTGACAAAAATATTATTATGAAATACTGTCTGCTTTCACTCCACTTACATTCAAACGCCATCCTTTTCATTTCATATCTTCTGATCTGTTCAACCTGCCATTTGTTACACATGAAAAAGTTCGGCCGACTATTTCAGAGAATATTTGGGGAAAAAGTAAACAACCGATCTGTAAAATTTCTACGGAAGCACGCTTGCTTAGTTCACATTAGTTTTAAACACCGTGTCGTGCTTGAAATGGCAAGTGTCGCTCGTGGGCACCGCGAGGCAGCTGCCCGGACGCGGGATCGCGGCTCTCGGCGGCGGCGCGGCAGGCTCACGGACGACCTTGCCCTCGTCCCGAGGCCCGGCTCCGCCCGCAGCCCCCGGGCGTACTCCCGCTGTCCGCCGGCCCGGGTACCGCGCGGCCTTCGGGTCTTTTCCGAGGCGCACGGAGGCGCGGGAGAGAGCCCCGCGGGGACGGGATGAAGGTGCGCGGCCTGCGTTTCGGCTCCAGCCGCGGGTCCCACCTGCCTTGCCCGGCCCCCCGCCCCGTGCGCCCCAGAGCCGCCGCCACAACCGAAGCGCAGGGCCAAGGCCACCTGTCGGGACACCCCGAACTCGTTTGGCTTTCCCTGAGCTTTTTATCTGCCTCCCCCATCCCGACTGGTTCCGGATTTGCAACCTCACAGGTGTAGGAACTGAGCTGGGCCGGGCTCTTGGCCTTTCGGGGACCCCGCTCCCCCAGCAATGAACCCTGTGACCGCAAGGCCGGGTCCAGGGCCACGGGCAGGGAGCGATCTAGGAGGCTGGGGCTCCGAGATCGCACTCCGCCGCCGCAGGCACTGGCTCGACCTTCCCCTAGCGCGGCGCCCCGGAGCTGTCCCGGGCGCACGGCCTCCGTCAAGTCGGGCAGGCTAGAGGAGGAGAGCCCAGAACCTGTGGGCGCAGGGCAGGAGCCCGCGGGCGCCATCGGAAGCAGGCACGGGAGGGCAGCGCGGCGCAGACACTTGCTCTCAGCCCCGCGACCCTTGGAGGCTGGGACGCCCAGCCCTCCGGGGAGGGCGCGGCCACCCACGCCGCCGCGGCCGTGTGAACCTGGCCGTGACCTAGGCCCCGGGGCGCTGCGGGTCGGGGGGAGGGGCTCTGCTTGGCCACCATTTGCCAGCCCCGCGGCACCATCCCGAGAGACCGGTCCACAGTCGGGAGACTCCCAGGTCGACCTGCTTCAAGCCCAGCCGACCCCCAATGCCCCGAAACCCCAGGCCGGCCTGGGCGACTGGGCCCCGCAGGCGCCAGGCACCGGAGAGGGAGGGCCCCGAGGGCCTGGGGCGCCGTTCCAAAGGCCAGAAAATGGAAACTGTGCGAAAAGAATCTCCAAATCCGGCCGGGCCCAAAGCCCACCGGCTTACATAAAGCCCCAGGAGCCCGCCCGCCCGCCCGCGGCCTCCCCTCCCGGGGGTGAACAATCGGCCGGCCCCTGGCCAGGCCGTCCTGGGGTTGGCACCACCACCGACCCCCTGACCAAGGGCCTGGCGTGACCCCGGGGAGGAGAAGGGGGTCTCGGTCTCTTCCCACCGTCTGCCCCGAGAAACATTTAACTGGCCTTTAATCACATTAGCAGCCGGCCCCAATTAAGGCCGCGGGCGGGGGAGGCAGGGGAAACCGCCGGCCGTGTCACTCGAGGATAAAGGTCCTTTATGCCCCAGGCCTGGCCTGGGGCGACGCGGCGGGCCGCCGTCCCCAGCCTTTGATTGCCGGCGCCTGGGCCTCGCCGCCGCCGCCATCTCTTTGCCCCTTCAAACTACCCCCGCCCCCGGCCCCCCCTCCCCTGCCCCCACTATGCCATCGCCCTCGGGTGACCTGGTGGCCGGGCAGGGCAGCGACCCAGGCCCGGACTCGAGCCCGCGCCCCCACGCCGGCCGGGACGGCCCCCCTGCGGCCTGCGCCTGCGCGCTGGGAGCGCTCGAAGGGGCGGCTGCGGGGCTCACCGAGGGTCCCCGGGACGCGCCGCCTGCCCACCGACGCCCAGCGCCCGGCCGGGACCCGGGTAAGGCCGCTACCCACCAAGTGGTTCGGAGGGAGGGTGACCCTCGCCGTGGGCGGCCCGGGCAGGTCACCCGCGCTCTTCCTGGGCTCTGTCTGGCCTCCCTGGCTCGGGGTGAGCCCCGCTGGGCCCTCCGGCCGGGGCCCAGGACCAGGCGGGAGCGAGGCTGGCGGGTCTCCGGGGTCCCAGCCTCCGGCGGCGGCGTCGGGCCTCTGGCGCACGGGGAGCACCAGGCCTGGGCGGTGGGGCCGGCCGCGGCCTCCTGTCTTGGCTCGCCGGCTCAGCACGGCGGAAAGTGCGCGCTCGAGGGCCGAGGGTCCCCGCGCAGTGCTTACCTTGCTCGGACGCCGGGACCGCGCTTCCCTCGCTCCTCCTCGAGGGTCGCCCGGGGCGCGCTCTGGACGGGCCGGGGTCGTGCGAGGACAGCGGCCGCCCGCGCCGCCGGAATGCCTGCCGAGGCCGCCGCCGCCGCCGGCCGCGACGCCCGGGGGGCCGCCGGGGACCCCCGCCCGCCCCACGGCGGCAGCTGCAGCCCGGAGCCGCGTGACCCCGGCCCCGACCTCCCCGCGCTCGGCTGTTTGTCTCGCACAAAAGAGAACACTCATATTTTTCTTTCCCCGGCACCGATTTAACACCCGCCCCATCTCCCCTCCCCCAAATTACCCCCCACCTCCCACACGCTTCGCTGAGAACCGCTTTCTCTCCGCACACCCACTTTGTCTCGCCTTTCTCCACTCTTGAATTCCGTCGTTGTAGTCGAGGATGTCAGCATAGCTTAGAAAGTTTCATAGAAAGTCAGAAAGCAATTAGAGAGGCCCTATTATTGGAGTTTCGCTGGTGCCATGGAATCTTTTAAAGGACAGCCTGAAGCACCGAACACAATCCCATTAAGCCGCCCAGACTCCCACAGTCCTCAATAGGGGTGCTCAATACTTCCACAGACTTTCGCGGCTCATGGGGGAACCGCGGGGTTTCAGTCCCCAGTTCCGCAGTCCACTCAACAACAGCGCGGCCTTGAACCTCGCATTCCTTCCTTTCTCATCGGAATTTCCATTGGGAAAATGGCTTGCAGGGCCGGAGTGGACATTAATTAAAGTCTGCCGAGCGGGCCGAGGTCTCCGTTTGACAAGGGCTATGAAAACCTCAAGCAGTTTCATAAGTAACTCCCCATCCTGTTTATTTGAAGTTTTTCTTTTTTTTTTAAGTTTTAAAAGTTTTTTTTTTTCTTTTCTCCATCCCCTTTCTACAAATGTGAGCGCGATTGAAATCAACTTTTACCTCTGTCCGCTTTCAAATCGATCAGCTGATGTTTGGAAAATGGGTCAAAGAAATTATGCTTTGCTGAGATAAAGACCACGTATGACCAAAGTTTCAGCTTAATTGAATTTTAGTGCCAAATTATAACTCACTGAATAACTGGACTTGGGCGCAGGAGGGGTGGAGGAGAAGGCAGTGAAGGACAGGCAATTCTAATGGAAATCCAGCCACCCTGGACTGGGGTCCTGTAGCCGCATGGGTACAATAAGAACTGCAGCTCGATTCCAAGGGAGTGAGGTTTATCACACTGTGGCTTTCATGTGGGAAAACGGGGTTGGCCTCACTTGGATCTTTGGGTTTGGGTTGATATTCCTGGGTATTATTTTATGTAGCAGGCAGCTCTTCTATAGAGCATAGCTTCTCCTTTCTTGTTGTTGACACTAACTTCTGTTCTTGCCAATAAAAATTAATCTCTTCCTTTAGAAGTCAATGTGTAAAGAAAGCAGGTGTTTTGAAGAGAGAAAGTATTTAAAAAATAAAACAGGTACTTGATTGTCAAAGCAAAATGCCGGGTTTAGAACAATTAGGATTTTGCTCCTGGTGTATCATCACAGATGTTCATTTTATTAAATAGACGTTTGTATCTGGCAGTTTCTGGATTAATTTCAGGAAGGGAGAAGAGGTGATGGGCTCATAATGAAAGAATTATAATTTAGGTGGTAGTGCGCTGAGCCTCAGTTGCAGGCAGATGGGTTGTTTGCTAAATCTATAAGGGGAATAATTAAAAATGAGCATGCGAAGGATGTTTAATTTTTGTATAGTTTGTATTTGTCATCAATTATTTGGAGCTTTTTCTCAAAGTTGCCTCCTTTTCTCTTGTTTCAGGGCCCATCTTGGCCATGCTGCCTCCAGGCTCAGCCCTCTGGCCTCTGACCTCTTGCTTTGCATGCACACTGCACCCTCAGCCACCCTACTGGATTTTTACATCCGTTCTGCTTGCATACATAGGGACCTCTCCCCACCTGGGTGATTAGAAAGGGCAGCAGGCTACCCTGCCTCCACCCCACCCTCCACTCCACCCCAACACACACACACACAGATCCAACCTCGGGCACTTTCTAGCCAGGCCTTCAACACTTCCTGCCTTGGCCGGCCGTATCAGCTTCTTCCCTGATTCTTAACCAGCTTTTCTTGGTTCTGCCTGTTAGGCGTCCCTCACTCCCTCTCCCCACCTGACACAGCTTCCGTCTTCCTGTCTGTCTGTCCAGACTGCTGTTCTCAGACAGACCAGGATCACAGCCACATTGACCTGGCCCCCATCGGAATGGGGGGTTTAGGGGGGGCCCTGTGCTCCAGTCTGCGTTTCATTCATTGTGCTTCCTCTCGCTATAGCTGTACTTTGGGGATGTTTCCTGTAGGAGAGAAAACGACAGAGGCGCCTCGAGGGTAGGTATCATTTTACACTGGTCCCGGGGTTCTGTCAGCACCCCGCACCCACAGAGTGGGCCGTCCATCAGTCAGCCGCACGTGGATGTGTAAATCAGAACCAGGTTTGGGTGGGCAGCCACAGATGCGCCTGGTCCCTGGAGGTGTGAACAAAGTCCACATGCTTCTGCGCTGAACTCAGAGGACCCGTCCCTGGACTTTTTCAAACAACTTAAAACTCTTTAAATTCAGTGGAATCTTAAACTGTTTAAAAAAGTGAATATGACTCAGTTGGACTGCAAGAGAAAGTGGAAGAAAAACAAACAAAAGCAAATCCAGAAATCCAAACAGTTGAGTCTGCTTTGGGTAGTCTTGATTTGCCCAAGAAAAGGAGCAGATCCCTGCGAAACAAGCAAAAGATTCCAAAAGTGCTGCGATGTCTCGTTTTCTGGCAGGTTACCTGCACGCGGTGCTGCTGGGGCTGGCTTCTAGAACGAGACTGTTCATCCCTGCAGTCCTGAGTTGTTTAGGAAAGGTGCCATTCAGGACTGTCCCCATGTGCCCGGAGAGGCTGAAGACAGGCACCTTCTTCAAAGAGCATGCCTTACTCTGGATCCTGCCGAAAACCTGGCGACAGGCCTGGCTCTGAAGAGGATGACGAATTCCAGTCTGGTCAATAGCGTGCGTGATTAAAGTAACAAGATAAAGAATGATGCGAACAAAGGCACCTTCAAAACTCTTCAGGGAACAAAGAGATGAGCAATTGCTGCGGTACAAGAAGAAATGAAAATGATGAAAATAACTCAGGAACTTGAAGGAGGAACATTTAACATTTAGAATTCAGTGCAAATGTGTTAACAATCCATCTGTGAGCAAGGTGTCTTTTCTCACCACTTAATCAAATTAACCAAACCAGGAGTGTTAGCATTTAGAGATGCAGCATGGTTCAGAAGGAGGCTATCCCAAGAGTCTTTCCGTTCAACCAAGACACTGAACTTCTCTCTGGAGTATCAGATTCTCAGCTCAACGTTTGCAAGGAACAGTAAGGTACATCAAGAGAAAAAGCAGGTATACAAGACACACAGCTGGACTGGAGGATCGCCAGGTTAAAATGCACATGTGGCACTCTCTGCGAGCTGTTTTAAAAACTTTGAAAAACTTCTTCTCTTTCTCCCCAAGGAGCAGTGTCAACAAATGGCTGGATGGTTTAAGTCTTTGCCACCTGTGAGATCCCCGACCTTCTTCTCCTGTGTCTCTTTGACTGGGGCTTTAGACCGGATGAAATGCGGATTCTGCTCGCATTATTTTTTTTGAGAACAGTTGCAGTGTTATGATTTTGTCCCAATCAGCCGTTTAAGAAAATAAGTAGGTTCAGGTTCCTTTTAAATGGGTTCACTCGGTGTCCTTCTAGGGGACGGAGAAAGAGAGAAATAAAACAAGGCAAAAGTTCCTCCTTGAGACTTGATGGTTCAACGCAGGGTTAATATTGGGATTTTGGGCTGGTGATGGGTGAATGGGTGCCGTATGTTGGGGGTTTGTTAAGGACAGCTGTGGGTCAAGGCCAGGTCATCTGTTTTAGTCCTAAATATCACCCTTGTTATTCACAGTAATTTCAGGGCATCTTTGTCCTGATCAACCACCAGGCTCCTTGCATCCGATTTTGACCTTACTGGTCTACACAACCTTTGGGACTTGTTGTTTTCCAGAGCTTAGATTTTTTTTTTTCTCACATTTTAAAAGGAGGGTACAATGTAGAGACTGTGTCTTATGGAATCCTGTAGCCTGGGAGTGTTCCCTTATCAAACCTGTGGG